GAGCTGGCGGTGGGTGGTACCTGGAAATAGCGGTGATACGCCGAAGCCGGGACCTCCAACGCCTGGGGAAAAAGCAACAGCCAGTGACAGCCGGTGACAGCGGTGCCACTCTAGCGTGCACTGGGGACAGCCTGGCTGGGATCCCGTGCTCACTCCAGGGACAGGAGCTGATGCAAAAGCCGCCGTCCCCACCCTGGCACCTCTCTGGCTTCCCAGTGCTCTCCCAGGCAGCTGGTGCTCAGCAGGGAATGGCAGCAGCACGGGGACAGCAAGCGGGGACGAGTGTGGCAGGATAGGGGACACACTGCCAGGCCAGCCCCAAAGTGCAGCACTCACCTGGCTGCAGCCCCCCAGCACCAAAACCTGCAGGTGGGTGAGCCCCAGTGAGGGTGGGGAGCGTGAGCACAGCCATGGGAATGTGGATGGGGACAGGCACTGGAGTCACTCCTCCAGCCCCTCTGGCTGTCCCTTACCTGGCTTGGGAGGTTTCCCAGCAGCTCCTGGATACAAGAGTCCTAAGTCAGAGGGGGGCACCAGGGCAGCCCCTGCCCGGACTCACTGCCCCAGGGCCACACCCAGACCCTTCAGGAGGGGCCCAGAGGGTCCCAGGAGGGACCTGCATCTTCACACGTTGGGGACAGGGTACAGTACCATCCCCTGTTCCCATGGCATGGGCAAGGCTGGGGCTGTGGCCCTCAGTCCCTGCTCAGCAATGGCAATTCCTTTGGATCACCCCCTGGGAACAGGGCAGGTGACAAACACAACAGGGGACAGTGACAGTGCAGGGTGGGATTGTGCTGTGAGACTGGGAGGGGACAGAAGTGACCCACAGACTCCCTTTCCTTTTCATGGCTCTGCCAGCTCTCTGCTGCTGCTGCTGCTGCTGCTCCCTGCAGCCCAGCCCTGGAGCCCCACAGCGGGACCAGCATCACTCACCGAGGCCACCAACTCCGAGCCCACCGACGCCAAGGCCACCTACAAGGAGTAGCCCGGGTGAGCACCAGCAGGGACAGGCAGTGTCCCCAGTGTCTGACCCACTCCGCAGCCACTCCCAAGTGTGCTCATCCTTTCTCGGGCAGCCCCGCTCCCCGCCGTGCCCAGAGGGAGCATCCCTCCAGCTCCGCCCCTCGACGGGAGCATCCTTCTGCCCACACATCCCCACTGCCTGGGCTCAGCTCCTGCCAGCACTTACCTGGGAGGCCACCAACCCCTGGGACTCCAACCCCAGGAACACCTGCCAGAGAGACACCATTAGCACCTGTCCCCCACAGCCTGGCAGCCCCGGCTCGGAGCACCCCCAGTCACTGCCCAACCTGCTGGGGTGGCCCTGGCACCCATGCTGGGGGTCCCCAGCACCCATCTCACAGCACCCACAGGGGCTTCAGCCCCTGTGTGACACATGGAGGAGAAAACTGTCCTCAGCGAGTCCAGGGCAGGGAGTACAGGTGGCACTTGGCACCCATGGGTGACAGCACACCACTTCCCATGCCTGGGCCATTGGGGCAAAGTGGGCACACAGGGGGCAGAAGAGAGGTCAGCACCCCAATGGCTGCAGGAGAAGGGTGCCCAGGGACAGTCTGAGGTGGCCCTGGGGCAGGGGGCAGGGGTACGTACCGAATTTGGGAGGTTTAGCACCAGGCTGCACCCCTACTTGGGGGATGCCTGCAAAGTGAGTGAGGACACCATGGTTAGGACAGTCACCCCCGCACCGTCTCATGTGCCACCACCCTCCCCTCCATGCCACCCGCGTCCCTCCCTGACACCCCTTCATGTGGCTTGGTGGCTTTCAGCATTCCCAGCCACCACTGTCCCCAGGCAGGGTGGGACACAGCACGTACCTGCCCCGGGAAGGATGCCAGTTCCAGGTACTCCCACCCCTGGCACCAATCCGGGCACGCCACCAACACCGGGTGCCACTCCGGGCACTCCGCCCACGCCAGGCACCACCCCTGGCACCCCTCCAACCCCGGCACCTGCGGGAAAGGGGTGAGAGATCCTGTGCTCGTGTGGGATCATGTGCCAGGCCTGGGTGCCCATGCCCAGCATCCCCTGCATGGGTCAGAGCCACACCAGGGCTGGTAGGGAGCCTGAGGGGCTCCCCAGGCTGACTCACCAAATTTGGCTGCCTTGGCTGCTGCTTTGGCTGCTGCTGCAGGACCTCCAACACCTGGGCAGAGACAGCAGAGGGGGGTCAGACCCTGGGAAGGCCTCACAGCAAACCTGGGCAGAGCCCATCCTTCAGGCCCTGTCTGCAGCCCCCCAGGGACACTGCTGAGGTTCTCCTCAAGCCTGCCCCCAGAACTGCCCCCACACCTGCCAGGCTGCTCTCACCCTTGCCTTCCTCCTCCTCACCTGGGACACCTCCAACACCAGGAACCAGGCCACCTACTCCAGGAACCAGGCCACCTACTCCAGGAGCCAGGCCACCCACGCCGGGAGCCAGGCCACCCACGCCGGGAGCCAGGCCACCTGCTCCTGCAAGGAGAAAGAGAAGGACTGGGCTTCAGTAGGGAGGAAACATGGAAGGAGGAGTTGGATGAGTGGGTGGGTGGATGGATTATGAGATGGATATGTGGCTGGATGAGCACTGGTTGAAATGATGGTAGGATGGATGAATGGTTGGATGGATGAACGAATGGATGCTGAGATGGACACATGGATGCTCAGATGGCCAGATGGACGGAGAGGTGGTGGGATGAATGTGTGTGTGAATGGGGAGTGGTTGAATAGATGGTGGGATGGATGAATGGAGGGATGATGAGGTGCACTAATGGTTGAAGGGATGGTGAGATGGATGTGTGGATAGATGGATGAATATGTGATGCATGTGGAGTGACTGAATAGATGAGTGGAGGAGGTACAGATGGATGAACAGAGAAGGGGACAGATGGACACCGAGGTGGTGGTCTTGTGGCTGGGTGGGCAGAATGGGTATGGATGGACCAAAGTATGAGAAGGTGGTGAACTCGGATGTTCCACAGGGCTCAGCTCACTGGAGAGCACCCCTGACACAGCCAGAACCCCATCCCACATTCAGCCCTTCAGGGAGCTCGTCCCTCACCCTGAGCCCCAGGGACCCCAGGCACTGCTGGGCCTCAGCCCTGACAGGGGAGCAGCCTGGGGTGGGGATGAGCAGAAGACAGGACAGGTGGGATAACCCCAGAGAGATCCCAGCTTACCATACTTGGCTGCTTTGGCGGCTGCTTTGGCAGCGGCTGCCGGACCTCCTGGGGACAGGGAGTGAGAGGGTCAGGAACGTGTCCCACCAGCACTGCTGGGGACATCCCAGCATCCCTTGGGCACCATCTCACCTGGAATGCCGACCCCAGGCACCAGACCGGGCACGCCAACACCTGGCACACCCACTCCAGGAACACCAACACCGGGAATGCCAACTCCGGGCACGCCAACACCGGGAACGCCAACACCGGGAACACGTCCTGCTCCTGCAGAGGGGTTCTGGGATGTGTCCAAGGGGGGAAAACTCCACAGCAGGAATCCCACTGACCTCCACAGCACCGGAGTGTCCCCACCTCTCCTGTGTGCCAACACACCTCCTCCCTCCCTGGGACAGCCGATGGTGACGGTGGTGACAGTGGTGACTCACCGATCGCCGCTGCTTTCGCTGCAGCCTTGGCTGCGGCCGCTGCTGCCGGGCCACCAACTGCAGGGACACAAGGGACACAGTCAGGGACCTGCTGAGGCCAGCATCCCATCAGCGGCTGCTGACAGCCCATCTGCTCACCTCCAACACCAGGAACAGCACCAGGAACCCCAGGCACGCCAGGAACACCAGGAACACCAGGAACACCAGGGACACCGGGAACTCCAGGAACACCAGGAACACCAGGAACGCCAGCGATGCCAGGAACGCCAGCTCCTGCAGGAAGCAAGACAGGAGAAGTCAGATCTGGCTGCAGCAACAGCTGAAAGGCTGGGCCTGTTCTGGCTCTGTCTCATAATCATGGCCGGGAGAGCAGAGAATCCACAGCCACTACCAGGAGAGACCCAGGCAGGGCAGGAGAGGGATCAGTTCTGTGTCTTGCCAGACCCAGTGGGAGGCGTTCCAGGATCCTACCAGGTTTTGCAGGGCAGTGACCCCGGGCCCCTCACAGCACATACCGTACTTAGCTGCCTTTGCTGCTGCTGCTGCCGACGGCACCCCTGGGGACAAGGGAGACACGGAGCCTCAGCCACCATGGCCCTGCAGAGCCGGGCCACGGGGACAGGGCTCCTGGAACAGTCACCTGCCACCCCGGGGACACCTCCGACACCGGGCACCGCCCCGGGGACACCTCCGACACCGGGCACCAAGCCAGGGACACCTCCGACTCCGGGCACTGCCCCGGCACCTGGAGGGAAGCAGAGTAGTCAGACCCCCCACAAACACCCCACTTTGCCACAGTGGGGACTTGGTCTGCCCCAGGGTCACAGGAGTCTCTTGGGCACCCGCTTTGTGGTGGGCTCCTCACTCATTCTAAAGCAGCTCCTCAGGGTACCTGGGATCTTGTTGGGAATTTTATTCCCAGCTCCTTACACCCATCAGGCTACCCAGGATGTTGGGGACTCCCAGGGCCCCCCAAGGCTGTGGCTATACATCCCGGCTGCCTCAGACCTGGCATGTTTTCCCTAAATGCCCCAATGTGTGATTTGCTCCTCACTTTTCTCCCACAGAGCAGTCAAACAGGGAGCAGTGGAGATCTGCATCACCATGAGCATCCCTCACTAGGGAAGGACAGCTTAGCACAGACACCGAGTCCTGGCCACCCTGCTGGCACCTGGCAGAGCAAACCCACATCTCATGGAGAGACCGCGTGTGATGGGCATGCTCTGCCCCCTGCCAGGCTGCTGCATCCCAAGGGGCCCTCAGCCCTTCAGCGCTGCTGGAACAGCTGCTGGAGCTGGGACAGGGCAGGGACAGCACCCCATAGAATGGGATAGGAGCTGCCGGGGCAG